GGTGGCAACATGTGTAGTATTTAAAACTCAACCGGCCTTGGGTCAGCAACGAGCAAAGGCAACGGTAACGGGCTGGGGCTGGGGCGGGGGCGGCCACAAATTAATTTATTTATTTTACGGTTGCTCTTCGGCTGCCTTCTTCTTCTTCCTGTTCTGCCGTGGCCCCATTTTTCTGTCCCTTCCCTTCTCTGCCTGTGGCTTACCCTACGCAGACCGATATATCGGGATTGTATCGATTAATAATCGAAATACTAGCATTCAGTGGCCTGCAGCAGAGACTAGAGCTACTATCTAGCCCATCTCTACCTTTTTCCAGCCATAATCCTAGGGAGATCCCTTGTATGGAAAGGAATAAGGGGAGTGCATGGATTGGGGCAGGGTACTCCCCGATTCGTGGCTGTGGCACGCATTTCTGTTGTTGCGTTTGGCTGCCGGTTGCCGTTTGCTGGATTTTTGTGTGATTTTCATTACATTTTGGCCAAAAAATGTATGTGGCGGCACATCGGGGGTTGCCGCTGTTGCTGTTGTTGTTGCTGCGCCTGCAGCTTTTGTCCACCGTCACTGCCTACTGGTGGTGCCTGCTCATGCCTCCTGCTCTTCTGCTTTCCTGCTCTACTGGTCGTGGTCGTGGGACCTGGCCCTGCCCAGCCACCCTTGACTCTTGGGGCAAAGTCAAATGTTGTCTGTTTGGCACGCATCGCAGGCAACGCAGCCATCGCCGCCATCGACGAGTGGTTTGGGTGTTGCGACATTGAAATTTATAGACCCTCCACCTCCCTTTGGCCGCTGTCTGGTGTCTGGCGTCTGGTGTCTGTCAGGTGGCACAGCATTTCAAGTGGTGCATGCAACACACACCCATGCACCCCCCTCCCCACTCTCTCTCTCCTGCTGCTGCTGCTGCGAGTGTCGGGCCTTTAAAAAGCAACAGAAACAGCGTCAGAAATACCAACAAAATATTTAATTAAAATTTATGTACAACCCCCCCGAAAAAGGGACAGGAAACGAAAGGGAAGGATCTGCCACCGCCTTCAGTCCGTTTCAGTCCGCTTCAGTCCGCTCTTGGCTGATGTCCGCTGATGCCCCGTGCCACCTGACCCATGCACCGCCTCTCCGCACACTCATTGGGGAGTCATGACGATGGGGTGGACGGGGACGGCGGGCTGCATGCTTTGGAGATGACACCCTTCAGCGACTTCCCTCAACCTCTCTCTTCCACTGAAGTGGGGGGTGGGAGCTCTGGGGAGCACTTGAAACTTTGCTTTTTACCGTTTTGCTCCGTTCTCCCCCCCGCTCCATGCCCTCTTCCTAGCAGCAGCAGCAGCAGCAGCAGCTTCCTTCCACCCTGCTCTAAAATGTACAATTGACGAGGCCGTGTCGGCCATTTTTAATGGTTCTGTCGGTTGCAGCAGAGGTCGCGGTTGCTTGTGGCAGGGGCATAAGCAGAGGCAGAGGCAGAAAAAATTAAAAATATTTTGCATACTTTCCAGCGCACATGCCGCACAAATACCGCCCAGAGCCGTCCGAAGAGCTATTAAAAAGTTACCCAAAAGCCAAAAGAAGTGAGGGGGAGGGAGGTACAGAAGTAGATAAGTGCAGGGGGGAGGAAGGGCGGTAGGAGTAGTTGAAGAGTGGCACAGGGAAAACTGTCGGGCACTGTGGAGTGGCGCTTACTGGCACACAGAGCACAGAGAATCAGCCAAAAGGCAGCAGGCAGGAGGCAGGAGGCAGGCGGAATGGGGCATGCGGCACGCATTAACCAAACAAATCAATTGGGCGTTAAAGGCCAGAAAGGCCCGCCACACTGATGGACAGGCGGGTCATGGGGTAGGGGGGGTTGCGAGTGGTGTGTCAGCCTTGTTGGTAATTGGTAATTGAAAGTGGCCCATAGCCCTTACACCTTAGCCCTTGCCGTATGGCCCCAAACCGCCGACTAATCAATCAATCGAACAGCCGACGAGCAGCGAAAACAGCAGCAAACGAATGGGCAAGGGGCAAGGGGAAGTGGAAGTGGAGCAGTGGAGCAGCGGAAGGGAGGAAGGCAGGGAGGGAGGGCTGCCAATCGATTAATCAATCACTCAATCAGTACATCAAACTGCCAGCGGGCTGGGGGGCGGAGGGAGGAGCGCTGGTAGGCAATGGCAAAGGTCAAAGTTGGCCTGGATTTGTTGCCAATTAGCGAAGGCAACATCTGGATTAGGGCCATGGATTACGAGGCGAGCGGACAGCAGCGGACAGATGCCCCAAAAGTGCGGCACAGAATGGGAGAGTGGGGAAGTGGGGTAGTGGGGGAGAGAGAGAAAGGTTCGGTTGGGGCATCTTTAAATAGATGCCACGGCGGGATGTTACTTGACGATGGATTCAGTGGCTGTCTCTGCATAATCAGCAGAAATTCAGAGCACTCCGATCCCTGCACCTTCTGCCACATCTACCTTACGACTCCTCTCCTCTCTGCTTGGCTCTGCTCTGTGGCTCTCTTCTAATAAGCAGGAACCCTGCCAGGACCCAAAGCCGGACAAAAGACGCCCAGCCCTGCCCTGCCCTGTCCTGCCCCTGCCCTGCCTTATGCCTTCTCCTCCGGCGGCTACTGGGGGGGTGGCACTGTAGCTGCAACTGCAATCTCCGCAATATGCCAGGCAGCCAACCAGCCAGCCAGCCAGCAGCTTCATTTCCTGCCCGAATGGCCAGAATGTGTCACACAAAAGCCACACAGGAGGTTGCAACTTGCAAGGGCAACATGTGGCAGCAGCAGCAGCAGCAGCAGAACGGAACGGAGGCACGGATGCGATGTTGCAGCCAAGTATTCGGGGCGGGCGCTGTGCCAAAGTGCCTGCGGTTATGCGCCATGGAGGAGACGTCGTGTCCCAAACTGTGGATGGCCTGTGCCTGCCTCAAGGCTACCTGCCACTGTGGCCGCTCTCTGTGGCTGCCCATTAATGCCCGCCTTTAAAATTTATGATATTTACTCAACCAGACAGAGGCAATGAGGCAATGAGGCGGGATGCTGCCCCGCCCCCATTTATGGCTGGCCAAAAGGAGATGCGACTCTTGGCAACTCTTGGCACTCACTACAGTCTGTGGCATGGTCGTACATGGTGCATGGGGCATGAGTGGCTGCTTAGTGAGTCATCAAGGGTGGCGCGGGCGGTGCGGGGCGGGGGGGGTTTGCTGTATTACCCAACTTTCACTTGTAAAAACTGGCACCGAAAGCGTAGGTACATTTCAGATGACACAATTTGATTGGTGGCATGCCACATTGCCATTGTATTGGTTTTTTGCCATTTCCTTCTCCACGGAATATCCCCCAGACATTATACGTAAGAATGCCTGCAGCAGAGGATCCTCCTTTTGCTCCGCTTCCAAGAGGATCTCACGAACCCACCCACACCATCCCCCCCCCATCCGCCACTCTATGCGGAACGATAGCCCTAGGGGCCATTGGAATGAAAGGACTGGAAATTGGCCCAAGTTACGGATTCTCCCTCCTCCCTCCACCATCCTCCATCCATTGGGATGTCTCTGCTCTGGGTCTACTCTCCGTTGCGTGCTCTCCGCTCAGTGCGTTGCACGCCGTTCGCATGTCAACACCTGAGCACGCCTCCGCGTCTTACTCCTTTCGTTGTCTTTCGGTGGAAGTTTTTTTGTAATTTTCCTAAGTGTCGTCGTCGGAGGCAAAGGCAAAGCTAGGAGGCAGGAGTCTGGCAGGAGCCTGGCAGACAGCCGTGGAAATTATTAGCAGCATGTTCTGTCGTCGCTGTTGGATTGATTTTAATGCCGGCGAGGAGGCGGCATCTGTGCTGTGCTCCGGCCCTTGCGCCCAGCGATTCCACCGCAGATGTGTCGATGTCCCCGGGGACACCACAGTGGCGCGTGAGCCACGGCACATCCGTGCTGGCAGCCCGAACTCGGGCTGCGGCACCGACTCCATCTGTGGCTGTGGATGGGAATGGTATTGCCGCAATTGTCGTCAACTTTATCGCCTGCAATTGTACTTCGAGGTACGACTTACGACTCGTAATGGAAGCTTGACATTTAACAGAGCCCCCAGACGGTGGCAGACGGTGGCAGGTATACCTGCCTGCCTGCCTGCCCCTTGGTCGTGCAATTTGCAGCAGACAGAGGACATCTTGGGGCTCTGATTGAATTTGTCGAGTGGTTGTCGTCTGAGTGGTTGCTTCCCGGCGACCTTGACGCGACTGTACCCAGTGCCAGCTGCATGAGTCATGACTCGGTTTTCCTCTCACTCAGCTTTCAGATATAGTTTTTATTTGTGCACGAAGTTCGAGTGGGAAAGAAGCCTCCAAAGCTGCACAGAATTCTGGGTGGCACAGCCAGCTGGGGCAACTGTACCTGTATCTGCCCTTGCTGCTGACTGCTGGCTGCAGAGGATCTCCGATTGTCCGAAGGCTAAGTCCAATCCAATCCAATCCGTTGCTGGGTTGAATCCGCAGTCCATTTGAATTCTGTCCTTTGCTCTGTTCGCCCGTCGGTGCGCCTTTGTTTTCTCCACTTAACGAGGATTCCTTTCCTTTTGGCTTTGGCATTCTGCATGCCATTCCATTCCATTCCACATTTTTGTGCATCTGATGGCTGCTGGCAGCCGAGGCAGAAGCTGGGTAGGGGCTGGGAGGGGTGCGCAAAAGGTAGCGTCGCCATTTTTAATTTTAACTGTAATTTAGCCATTGTTGTGCACTTTTGATGACGCAGACATTCGCTGGCTCAGGACACTCGGCACTCGAGAAGACTCTGAAGCACTCTGAATCTGTGGCAGTGGGCGGGGCAGTGGCAGGGGCACACACTTTGTGCTGTGCTGCGTTGCACGTGTCGTGCAATTTGTGGCGTTGTTTTCCTCTTCTCCTTCAATGCTTCAATGTTGATGCCTGCATTTTATGTAACATTTATTTTTAGCATACTCATGTGTGCCCCCCCCCTTCCACCTCCACCACACTCTCTTACTCTAATGCATCTCTCTATCTCTCTTTGTGTGTCTCTCTCTTTTGCAGATTGCCATCTGTGATGATTACAGCCTGCCCGTAGACTTTGTTAAAAAACGACCGTCCAGCTTCGATCCGTGCCTGGCGGAGGCGATACCAGCGAATCCCGAGCACTGGATAATCCCCAGTCCCCAGCAAGCGGAGTTTGTAAGTTCATCATTCAACACAACGAAACAGATCCACATTCCATATCCCTCATCCCTCATCCTTCATGCTTTGTCCTTCATCATTAGGTGGGGGCGAATGGAATGGCAATTAAGCTGCTCTGGACAGCTAATTGATAAAAATAATTGATAAACTGCACGCTCCAGCAGCAGATGCACCACCCAGCGACAGATACCACAGATACCAGATACCAGATCCCAGATCCCAGTTCCCAGTTCCGAGATTATAAAATTCAGATTCAGGAGGGGGAAATAAGGGCTGGCTGGCTGCATTTCGTTTCTGAGGCTGAGGAAGAAGGTGAGGCGCAGCAGTGCCTTGGCTTCTGTGTTGCAGCACTCCAATGGGCTCCAATGAGGATCCAATGGGTGCCTGGGACTCCTGAGATGGTCACGTAGATTTAATTTATTCCTAAGACCTTTCACATCCCACTGGATATGCACATATAATAATTTCATATTAATTATATTATATATGATATGCCCCAGTCCCAATTGACAGAAAAGTGAAGGGTATTCCCTGAGTCGTGCGCCTGCTGCCCCATGACAGCTGCCTCGCACTGCTTGGCTTACTCGAACTCTTATCCTGCAATGACAGGGGCAGTGGCAGGACAAACAAAGCATTGCTCAAACAATGCACGGACTATTGGCTAAATATTGCAAAAAGGAAAAACGAAAGAACGCAAAAATAACACACAGACTATCGGGCAGCGGCCATCGACAGCAAACAACCAACAAGCAACAAAACGGAGAGGAGTGGAGCGGAGCCCTGCGGCGGGACTTGATGGCTGGCTGGCCATAAAAAATGGCCACAGATATGGCAAAGCATTAGGGAAGAGACAAAAAGGGAAACAGAGAGAGGGAGAGGCAACCTCAGGCTGCAGAAAATGCGGCCCGTGCCACAAATCAAATACACGACAAAGAATCTTCTCCAAGCCTCCACACCACACCCCCCTCCACACCACACCAGACCCCTCCACTCTGTTCTGTTTTTTATGGCCCATGCAAAAATATTTGGTGTTTTGTTCTCATTTTGCATATTGCCACTAAAAATGAAAATGAAAATGAAAGCAGCGCCACATGAGGCACATAAAAAAGTGGAGGCAGCAGGCAAGAAGAAGCAGAAGTCGGTCTGCCTGCCTGCCACTTGAAATTCATTTTATTGAAATTTGTTTAGTCCCCGAATGGAATGTGATTTGCGGAGATTTTTGCAGAGCGAGCAAGGAATGCAGGAGGGGATGGCGACATAAGATTTGCGGCGACGACCTTCCACCGCCCACTTGTGCCACAAAGGAAGGCAATCAGGAGTTGAATTATGTGCCACATCGGAACACAGAAAACTGACAGGAAACTGCAAGACCCCCCCAAGCAACCTCTGCATCTGCCGCCCACACTAAACAATGGAAAAGTCGCTACTTAATTTGATAACTCTTTTTAATGTTAGCGCCAATCAACTATACAGCCACCGAGCTCCAGCACCCATTCGAATGTTTAGTGTTGGTAATAATATTGATGCGATCCACGAACATCCGCAAGCCATCGATGTCGGTGCCATCAGGGGGTACTTTGCCTGTGATTGGAAAGCAGAAGTAGAGGTAGAAGCATCCACTGGCCAATTCCAAAAGAGTCTCAACTCACGCAGGAACGCGTTGCTCCTTCTGCGTCTCCATGCTCGATGGGCGTATGGGAGTGGGTGCCCCGCACCCAGCAGGTCCGTTTCCTTCAGAGCTTTGGCAGGATGCTATCTCATTTGCATTGGGCCGGTGCCATCCTGCATTCGAAATGAAGCCAGAATGAAGGGATTAATGGGCAGCCAGCCCAGCGCATCCCAGCCGGAGTATCCTTACCTGCCCGGATAATAAATGGTTCTAATTGAGCGAACCAGCTCAGTCTGTCAGGTGTGTTTACTGCAAGTTGCTTCGTGTCTCTTTGTCGTGTTACATGCGAATCGAAATGCGAGAATGCATTTCGCTACCCCGGGACAGACAGATCCTGCGGGAGAGAGGCGAAGGCGAGAGATCAGAAACGTTGAAGAGTCGCGGCAGAGTTTGAATTTTGTCCACGTACGCGTAGAACCGTTTTACCGATTAACCGTTGAGTCATTTGACCGATGACCGTTTACCGTTAATCGCAACACTTTCAAATTTTGTTTCTTGTTTGAGTATTATTTATTTTATTTTTGTATTTGTATTTTTTTTTTTTTTTTGAATAGTCCGTTTGTTTTGTTTTTTTTGTTTTTTGTTTTCCGAAAAGTTAAAATTGATGTTCCCCAGACGAGGCCTGGGGACCGACTGAATATTTCCCATAATATTTTCCGTACCTGAATTTGGTCTTCGCTTTTGCTCGATTCCGCAGCCTACTCTGCGAGTATTTATCTCGGTTTTGTTTTGTTCAAGTGGGATAAAATATTTGTGATATTTCGGATGAAGGCTCCTCCCACAGTAGGCGGCGCTCCTTTTGTGTGCCTATCCCTATCCCCAGTGCCACATCCACATCCAGTCCGTGCTTGATTTTGCTCTCTTTCCTGCATCCGTATCGTTGCCTACTACGCTGTCCGCGCTCTTCAATTCTCTCTGCCTCTCCTTCCGAAGGAGGAGTACTCGGGTATGCGTTCGAGTCGAGTTTTAGAGGGGGAATCTGCACGATATCTGGCAAATTGGTAGATCGTAAACAAAAATATCCCAAATATTCCGAAAAGGAAACCTCGCACAATCTTTCCATCATTTCTGTGGGTTGTTCTCCTTTCTCTGTCCCGTTCCATCTGTGGCGTTGCTCGTTTTGTCGCCTCTCCCCCTCCCCACCCCCTCACGCACAATTATTAATGTAATTTTATGTTTTGACTTTTGTGTTGCGTAAACAGCAGGAATGGGTGGAGTGGGGGGGAGTTTTGGGTATACGAATACCCCCATAACCTCATGACGACGAGATACGCGTGTCCATAGCCATGTGATGATGCCATAATGGGGGCTTTCACTCTAAGCGTGTGTGTGTGTGTGTTGGTGTGTGTGCTGGTGTGTGTGTGGGGGTGTGCTGGTGTGTGGTGCCATTGTTGCTATTTTTCCTTTTTGGCGAAAAACTCGCATTTTAATGGAAAACGAGAAGCGGGCGACGCGACGCGACAGTTTTGCGATATGTGGAACGCTGTTGAGTCTGGGACTCCTGAAGTGTTTCCCTCACTTGGGCAGAGGGGCGATGGGAGGGTGGGGGTCTCTAGAGCGAGGAGAGTGGGGGGTTGCTAGTATTGCTCTCCGTGGAGTAATATTCAGCGATAACTCAGCAAAAACAAAACGAACAAAAAACGGAACAAAGAAACCCCCCCGTTGTCGGGGGGGGGAAACCCCCGGGGCCCCCCCCCGGCCTGGACCAATATAGTCCAGGCCGCGCCAGGCGGGGGGGGCGGCGCGTGTATATTGATGCTGATCAAAAATATACTTGGGGTCGAAACGTTTCCTTCCTGCGTTACACCAATACCTTATTGATAACAAAGTACGAAGAAGAAAAGTGAGCAAAACTCCGAACACTCACAAAAGCTCTGTGTCTAAGCTCTGTGTGTGTGTGTTGCATGGCTTATGTTTATTTTTTAATAACTTGGCAACTCTGTGTGGCATGTGGCCCACCGCCCCACTGAAACTCCGAATGAAATGCCAGTGGCAGAGGCGAAGGCAGAGGAGGAACCGCAGCTTAGATATCACTCGTACGTCGCTTTGTCTGGCTGCAGGAGTAGGATGGATGATTGAATAAATGATATACAGGACACAGGACACTGCAGTGATACCCTGTAGGCCACAAATGCATAGTCTTGGGATTGTTTAGATGACTGATGCAAATGAAAACTTTCGAAGGATATAAAGCAACGAGAGGGAAGTGCCAATGAGGGAAGAGGATTTTAGTGGCTTAATCCGTTTGAAAATATTGTCCTGAAGACTGATTTGTGCTGTACAAAGGCAGGAAGCAAAATGCGGGATAAGTAATGCGAATGAAACAAAGTCCATCAGACAGCAGGAGCATCCCACAGTCGACGGAGTAGTTGAAGGAGTAGCAGGATGAGGAGCATTAGTCTTTAGCCAGACATTTGTTCATCACATCTCCCCCCCCTGCCTGCAGCACACGTACGCCGCCACCATAAGGATTGGTCTTTTTATTTATTTTGTATTTGTATTTTTTTTTCATTAAAGTTGGCATAAAAATCACGTTGCTGCGGCAACGACGCGTCGTTCAGCAGACCGCACATTCCATTCCATTCCATGCCGACTGCAAGACTGAGTCCAAACAGTTTTTCTTTATTTGCCCAGCACCACCCCACCCCACCCCACCGCACATCCCGTGTTGGCCCTCAACACCACTGATTGGTGGGGGCAATCGTGCATGAGGATAAACAAGTACCAGTAGCGAGTAACGAGTAGCGAGTATCCATGCTTAAATGGTAAATGGGAATATGGAAATATGGTAAATGGGATACAATGTACATATGTAATATTGTGTATGTATATGCATATGGGTGGATGGGTTTGTGTCTGCTTATATCGTATGTGGATAATCAAAGGCAAATATTTAAACGGCAAAAAAACTCGTTTAAACGAGTTTGGTGCGGGGAGGGGCGGGGGCAGGCACACAACACACACATAAGAATAGCTCCAACGAACCCTAACAAGTACGCCACCCCCCCTGCCCAGGCAACACCACACCACACCACCCCACCCCACCCCACCCCATTATCAATCTGCCTTGCCTTTGCATCGTCTCTGTGGCAACCAGCTTTTGTGCCCCAAAGGAAACGGGGAAAGGGGCAGCAGGCAGCAGCTATCTGCATTGCATTTTGGTTTCAAGTTCAAATTCATTAAAAATTGTTATCCAAGCAGCCTCTTCTGTGCCCCCCCCTGCCACTGGGAAGCCTCCTCAATAGAGGAGAGCTCCTTATTTATGAGTTTCAATTAAAAATGTTTTTGGCGCACAATGGCTGCCTGCTGCTGCTGCTCCTCCTTCCTGCTCCTCCTTCCTGCCCCTCCTTCTGCATTCATGCAACTGCTGCCAGGGATGCTGCTGCCTCTTGTGTCGCCTGTGGCCAAACATCAATTTCCGCTCAACAGGAATATCCATATACATGTGGATGTGGGATGTAGAATGTGGGCTGTAGGATGTGGGCTGTAGGATGTAGGATGTGGGATGTAGGATGTGGGATGTACGATGTAGGATGTGGTCTGGGATGGTCGTGTAAGCGGAAATTTATGTTCAATATAATGAACAGAAACAGGAACGGAACAGGAGCCATACAATAGGATGCGGTGGGGGGGGGGGGGGGGGGGTTATCCTGCTAGTGTCAGTTCTGTAATGCTCAGCCATTTGTCAGGCTGGCAGCGGAAGTGGATCGAGCAGCCGGACAACAACGAGTCTCTGGCCACAGGGAAACTACACAAGAAGCGACTCAACGAGTATGAGGCAACGGGGAGCCATTCAACCGTTCATCCATCCACAATTGTATGCTCCGAGTGGCATATGAATTCGGAATATGAGGCATGCGGCAATGATAATGATTTCGGCTAATTTAAATACTACCCCAATGCACACACACACACACATATATTATATATATATGTATATAGATAAGTACGGTGTGTGTGTACTATGGGAAAACCTACAAACGCGCAGACGAGTTTCCAATTTGAATTTCCCTTGCCCTTTGCCTTGGTTCCATCGCCATTTCCCTTTCAATTAAATGCCAACAAATTGGAAACTGAAATGCAAATCAAATTAGTTGCAAACAAATGCTAATGGCGCCTGCCCCCGCCTTCTTTTTATTTCCGACAGCTGCCATTCGGGGAAGCCCAACAAGCGACGCAGCAACCTGCAGCAGCAGCAGCAGCGGCAGCGGCAGCACCAGCACCAGCACCACCGCTACCCGTGCCCCTGTCCACTTTGCCCATTCAGCAGGCGGCAACCGCAGCGACAGCATCTGCAGTAACAGCAGCAGCAGCAGCAACAGCAACCCAGCAGCAGCAGCAGCTGAACAATAACAACAACAACACGCACATCGGTAACCAATCGGTGCACCAGAGAGCAGCAGCCACCAGCAGCACAACAAAACCACCAACAACAACAACACGTTGCCAGTTGGGGCACAACAAGTGCAGCACCAGCAGCAGCAGCTACAGCAGCGTGCAACATTGCAACATCCGCCGCTGCCCAACAGTAACATCAAGCAGGCCTCAGTGAAGCTGATCGAAGGCTATTCCGATCCGAAGGACACGCGCCACCACAAGAAGGTCTACCACAAGAAGGCCAAGCGCCGCACGGCCCCCAGCCACAAGCGCCACCAACAGCAGCAGCAGCAGCCCCAACAGCAGCAGCAGCAGCAGCCGAAAAACTTGCAACATACATTGCCCACGCCACGCAGCTCCCAGCATCAGAAGCAGCAGAAGCAGCAGCAACAGCAGCAGCGGCATTCCACCTACAACAACAACAACGACCAGCAGCAGCAACGGAAAGATAAGCGGAACAGCCACTACGATTCGGGTGAGTGTTTAACAGAGTCGCGGCAGATGCGGCAGATACGGAAGATACGCGTACTCGCAGGTGACAAAGGGAGGGGGGACCAGCATTCATTTAATTCTAAGAGCAAAATATCTGTCTGCTGAATATGCCTGCAATGTACGTCCAAAGCTCCTTCGAGCATGCCATGCAATTGGCAACTAATTCAAAAGTTGTTGAGGTTCATTAGGCGCCTAACTAGTTAAAGGGCGGGAGCAGGAGCAGGAGCAGGAGCCTCCTGCCTGAAGGCCAGGAGACCTTGAGTGGATGGCAATTAAGTGGAGCCCAAGATGCGGTGCAAGTTTCTCGCCTGCGATGCAGACACTTTTGCCGCAGCGGCAGCTTCGATTAGCCAAGCGGAAAATGGAAAATGGCAGGCTCTGCTCTCTCCTTGGGGCAGAACTCAGACGAAGAGTCGGGGAATGGCATTACCATTAGAATGGAAGGATACTCAGAGGCTGGCGGCTGGTCCCGGGGTTCAGCCAACCGCCAAATAGACTACTTCGACGACGGGGACGACGACTCTGTTCATTTGCGTGGTTCGAGGCTAAAGGCAGAAGGCCGAAGGGGTCTCCGTGTCACCGCGACTTAATTAGAAACTGTCAGCGATGTCAGCAGTGTCCCAACTTTATCGTCTTCTCTTCTTTTATTCCCGCAGACTCATCGGCGCCCAAGTCCTCCGACGAGGAAGCGGACATAGACGAGGAGGCTGATCAGCCCCAGAAGCAGCCGGCAAAGCAGCCACAGCAGCCACAACAGCAGGCACCGTCCCAGGCTGCAGCTGCGGAAACAGCTCTTGGAGCGGTTCTCAATTCGCCGGATTCTATATCGGACGATCTGGTGCGCCCCCTGCCGCCCCAACTGCAGCGCAGTCCACGCAAGCTAACCGTCGCCCCGGCGGCAGAGTACAGCAAGCGCCAGCCGTCGCCCTACTACTACTCCGATCTGCTCAAGAGCCGCGACAGGGACAGGGACAAAGGACAAGGACAGGGCCAAGGAGGAGGCCAAGCAGAAGTGCCGCCAGTCGACGGCCAGCGAGCCGCCACAGCAGAGAGCAGAGCTACCGTGCCTAGGTGGCTACCGGAAGAGCTCCAGCTTGGATGTGCCCCATCAGGAGAACGGAGAGGAGCCGCCAACACCAGCAGCAGCAGTAGGAGACAGCGACGAGGACAACGACAACAAGGAAGACAACGACCCCGACCACGGTCAGTGGAAGGAAGCGGGAGACCCAGACCAGGACCAGGACCGAGAGGGAGAGGGAGAAGAGCGAACCGAGGACAACGATCGTCTCGAGGAGGAGGAGGAGGAGTCTGAGGAGCCCGGTGGCGGCGACCAGTCGACGCCCAAGCGCTACAGCTTCACGGAGGAGGGGGTGCACATCATCCGGTGCGAGACGCCCAGCACCAGCACCTCGGAGGAGTCCGACTGCAGCGAGTGCCTTAAGCGACGCGAGTGGCATGCCCGGGCCCTGGCCCTAGTCCGCAAGACCTGCAACGTCCAGCCACGCCACCAGTCGCAGTCACAGTCCCAGTCCCATCCCGAACCATCCACTGGCAGCGAGCTCCAGCTGCAGCTGCAGCACTGCGACGCCGGCGAGGGGGAACTGCTCAAGTGCTGCCCCCCGCCTCCTGCGAACGCCCAGAGCACCACAGCCGCGACCCCAGCGGAGCCTTCGCCGCCGATGCCACCGCACCGTCTGCTCGGACCAGCAGCCGTGTGCGGAGCCTGTGTAGCCGCCTCCCCAGCCGGAGCTGGAGGTGCACTGAGCGATGAGCCGGAGGAGGAGCTCGAGGAGTACTTCCGGCCGCGCAGCATCTTCTACGTGCATCCGCATGGCGTGCACGAGTGCGCCGAGTGCGCCCCGCTCCCAGTCCCGATCCCGCTGCCGCTGCAGCTGCCACTGGCCCGTCCCGAGAAGCTGCCACTGAGCGGACACTCAGCTTCGCAGTCCATCAACACGCTCGATCTCTACGGGGACGACGAGCGCGAGGAGGAGGACGACGACGACGACGACGAGGAGGAGGACGACCCCGACTCGGACATAATGGCCAGCCGCAGGCGGCAGATCTACGAGACGGCCTTCGACTGCAAAATAGCTAAGTCGGACGACGACCTGGACGAGGTGGATCGCATCACTAACCATTCGGTGCTCCTCCAGCTGAGCAACGGCAACAGCGAGACCGTTGCAGCGGCGGCGGCGGCGGCGGCGGCTGCGGCGGCCAAGGCCAAGAGCCGCCTGGAGTGCAAGCGAACAAAGAACTCGAAGAACCAGGCCCTACAGGAGCAGAGCGGCGATGGCCACGCTCACGTCCAGGTGCACCAGGTGCAGGCTGAGCTGGGAAAGCTGCAGCTCGAAGGGGATCACCAGAATCAGAATCAGAACCAGAAGCAGAACACCAACCTGGCTGCGGCTGCGGCGGCGGCGACGAGTGGAGCCAGTGCCTCCAGCACGCAGCAGCTGCCGGTGCGGGGCTACACGCCCTCGCCGCCCTCGACGGCGCCGCTGCCCATGAAGTTCCCCGGAAAGCAGGAGCGCTACATGAACAGCATCAAGAGCGCCCCCAACCTGCCCTCCGCCAACCCGGCCCATCCGCGGCTGCGCGACCTGCGCCTGCCCCTCCACGGGATGCGCCTCCAGCAGCAGCAGCCGCAGCAGCAGCAGATGTGCGCCTCCAGCAACGACAACAGCCTCACCGACAGCGCCTACGTGAATCCGCCCTCGACCAACTCGAACTCCGCCTCGGCCGGGGCCTCGGCCTCGGCCTCCGCCTCAGTGTCCGTCACCGCCTCCGCCTCGGCAGCCGCACGGCGTCCGCGCTCCTTCGTACTGGAGTCGGGCCGAGTCCTGGAGCTGCGGCGCAGTGCCCAGCCCCACCCGCAGCAGCAGCGCCAGCACCACCACCACCACCATCACCACGCCGCTGGCGTATCGGCGGGACGACGCACCCGCCATGGCCATGGCCACTGCCAAGGCCAGGGACAGGGGCAGGGGCACAACTACAGCTCCACGGAGTCCATAGCCACGTCGAGCAGCGGGGGCAGCATGGAGTCGCTGCGCTCGAGCACCAGCGAGGGCAACCGGAGCACCTCCAGCTCGGAGTCGCGCCACTCGAGCTCCCTCAGCTCGCACAGCTCGGAGAGCGGCAGCTGCAGCTCCAGCGTGGCCTACCCGCTGCGTCCGGCGCCGCTGCTGCTGCACTCGAAGCTGCACATCCTCAGTCCCATCTCGGACAAGTCCTCGCAGGAGCCGGCCTCGGCCAGCGCCTCCGAACAGTCGCAGCAGCCGTCCCAGACCCAGACCCAGAGCCAGACCCAGTCGCAGGCCCCAGTCCAGGAGGAGCAGGAGCAGGTCCTCGTGGCGGGCACCTCCGCCGGCGCCACCTCCGCTCCGCTCTCGTCCAAGCAGCAGCGCAACCAGCGGGGGGGAGGTGCGAGCGCCCAACAAGGCGCTGCTGCATCTGGCGGACGAGCTGCTCGGCTCTGACAGCGGCATCTCGCTGCACTCGCGTGAGGAGGGTAAGCCGCCGCCGGCCCTGGCGCTGCAGCGCCTCACGCTGCCCAAGCTGCAGCTCATTGGGGCAGAGCCCGCCAGCCAGGGCGCAGGCGGCGGATCCTCGGCCGCTGGCAGCTCGGGCACGGGCACTACCACCGGTGGAGGAGGAGGAGGATCAGCATCTGGATCAGGATCGGTCAACGTTGGCATACCGCAGGAGCTGCGGGACCTGCCCTTCGACATGCCAAAGCTGCGGCGCCGCAAGACGCTGCAACAGGAGGCGGCGTGCACCTCCGGCAGCGCCACCTCGGTGGACCTCGGCGAGCTGCCCTTCGACATGCCCAAGCTGCGACGGCGTCTGCGCGCCAACCAGGCGGAGATCAACAACCTGCTGATGCACAGCACCGAGTCCAGTGGCATCTCGCAGGCCTCCTCCAGCCACTCGATGCGGGAAGATCAGAAGCTGGCCAGCAAGCTAGGTAGGCCTCGATAGCCCTCTATAGCCCTCGATAGCGGACACACATAATTATCCCGCTAATTCCACACATTTGTACCCCTTCTCCCCGCACAGATACAGCCCTATTCCGGCAGAACCTTACGCTGAATCTAAACGAGCCGCGACAGGCAGCCAAACAGTTCGGAAGCCTCGACCTGCGGGGCCTCAATAGCGCCAAGGAGCTGAACATGAATCTCTGCCAGGGCTATGTGACGGCCGTGGATCTGATTGATGTCAGCATACCACTGGAGCGGCAGGGGTAAGGGATACTCGTCAGTCAGTCGAACTAATAGATGGCTAATCGATGAGTTTTGTGGCATTTCAGTTGGTATCACGGCGCCATTACGCGCGTCGAGGCGGAGACAACGCTCCGTCCGCTGTCGGAGGGCTCCTTTCTGGTGCGAAACTGCGAGTCCACCAAGCAGGATTACTCGCTCTCTCTCAAGTGAGTGTGTGACCGACGAGTACACTTCCACTGCTAATCGTTCTCCGTTTGTGCCAACAGGGGAGCCAAGGGCTTCATGCATATGCGGATTCAGCGCAACGAAGCGGGCCAGTACATCCTGGGGCAGTTCAGCCGTCCCTTCGATACAGTGCCGGAAATGATCCGTCACTTCTGCCTGAACCGGCTGCCAGTGCGCGGTGCCGAGCACATGTGTCTGATCGAGCCGGTCATTGCGCAGCTGCTCTAGGAGGATCAGCAGCAGCAGCTGGAGGAGCAGCAGTCATCGCGATCGGAAGGAAACCAAACAGAATTACATATTAATAGCATATAGAGGATACATACATACATATATATATATATAGCGTATGCACTAGTTATATGCACATACTATATGTATGTGCGAGTATATGCGATAGTTTTAAACAGAACTTGCAAATTCTTTTTCTTCCCAACTTTTTTTTTTTTTGCTAGCTACAAAACAGCAGCAAAAGAAATACCCAACACCCCCTTCCAAACACACTCACACATACTATACACACCCCCACTTCTGAGACACGAACTATTGTAGTTTAGCGTTTAAAGTACGTAGCACATTCAGACAATACCAGCAAATGACAAAACAAAACGAGATATTTATATAGAAGGCATATATACAACAAGCATGATGATATGATGATATATACAGGCAAACATATATAGTATATACACATACATATACATATATAAATATATGTATATATTGATATTGATATAAAAGAGAGCACTTGACAACAGTTGCTGCTTGTAGTACAGTACGGACACACATGATAGATACGATACGATACTACGATACGATACGATACTAGAAGAACGAGAACAACATTTTTTTAGATGTGTTTACACAGTGAGCAGCAGCAGCAGTAGGAGTAGGATAGGATAGGATAGGATAGGATAGGATAGGATAGGACTACTCCTGCCAGAGGAAGTAGCAAGCAGAGAGCAATTCACGTTTGGCTAGAGTTTACGGTAGAACACACAGATCGATTGTACTACTTATCGATCGATACTTAAGCAACTTAAGAAACTTTCTGTAGCACACACACACTCCACACCAAACACACACTTCTTACACTCACACACCCAGGCCCCCACGAAAGGCCACACCACACTCTGGTTGCAATTTCCACAGACGGTAGGGCAGGCAGCAGGGGGCACGGGTCATCGCTTAGGGCACGATAACACTAAGAATGAAAACAGTTTCAAGTTTCAGCAAGCAACTCTAAAAATTTGTTGATTAATTTTATGTTACGACGAGTAAAAGGAAAGGCAAAGACGAGAGCGAGATCGAATCTTAAATATGTAAATCTATGTGTAACTTTAGCAAGGACGATTCAAAGAGGAGGAGCTATTTCGTGTAATTTTTTTTTGTCTTAGCTGTAGGTCAGAGGTAGAGGACTCTCTTGTACGCGGAAGTAGGACGCTCAAAGCGCTTTCGGTTGGATCGAATCGATGAATGAATGTAGGGTTGATGGATGATGCATGAGGGGTTAAGGATGGACGGGGCAAGGATATAGCAAGGCATATGAAAAAGTCGGTTTTAAGTGTTAGTTTCTAATTGAGTAATTGCGGGGAGTTTATGCGTGCAAAGGCGAACGAAGGGCAAAACTATATGCATACATATGTACATATATACACATTTATATATGTATTATGAAAGCTAACAAATGCTATATGTATATATATATATACTTACTATTTATATTTCTATATATACATATACACACGATATTAAAGAGCAGTCAATGGTTTTTTGGTTCCAGTTCCAAGAGAAGCAAAGTGTCAGTGCCAGTGCCAGGGCCAGTGGCCCCAGTGGGACAGATCCCAGTGGGACAGATCCCAGTGTGACTCATTATCTAACTACATAATTAATTAATTATTATTATTGTTTCTGGCAGTTTCATTTCTGTACCACCTTTGTACCGCCGAGCACTACGAGTATACATATGTATTATTATATTTATATTTATATAGTATTTATTTATATATTGTGTGGTATGATATGTGTGCAACAACTTATTTTTCCAGTCAGAGCTATGTTAGAGTATACCAAAAATATGTGTGCCAAAGCATGACGCTAGTCTTATCTAATGTTTCGATATGTTGATTGTTTGTTGCCTAATTTCTAATCCCAAGCAATTCGATGCAGTGCAATATACATAAGTTTATCTTTTGGCTTATTTGTAACTTATTTACGATTTTTCATACGAGTACGGGTACGTGTACGGGTACGTGTACGGGTACGGGTAGTACATAACTATATGTGCAGAGTTTAGATCACATTCCTGTTTCCGAGGCGATAGTTTTCCTATATTTTCCGCACTCCCTTGCACCTGGCTAACGTGTGTACAGTACGTGTCGGTAATGAAAGCTGAGTCAATTTGTAAACGGCTTTTGTAAATACATATACAAGAAATACATACATACATATATACACCCGAAATCATAAAAGTACGATTAATCGTAAGCATGTGCGAGTGAGTACAATTTTATTTGCAATACATCCTTTAAGAATAAGATTTCAACTTCACATAGTACGAGTAGCAGTGCAACAGTGCAACAGAGCAACAGAGCTGCATGTGCATTGATCCATCTTTTGCATCCCCCACAACAATACCAATACCATTACACACACGCATACATAGCGATGTATTTGAGGCTTCCGTAGCAGTAAAGATCGAACCAACACCAACCAGACATACATACATACATAAATACATACTAGTAGAACCTCTACCACAGTATTGGACCCACAGGTTCCCCAAAGGGTGCACCTTATACGAGTACTAGCACACTTCCACATCCACATACGTTGTTCTTTGACGAGTGTTGATCAGACATTCGTTTCAGTTTCTGTTGTGTATAAATGATGTACTTAGCCTTGTACTCCAACTATCTATCTATTCATCTATCTCTCTCTCTATGGCACCCAAATAGTATCTGATATCTGATTAATTCAATCAGTACAGAGTACAATTAGTGACACACACTGAACGGCAACAAATTTAACAAACAGAAACCGTAAACCAACCACAACAACAACAACCACAAATGAAACAAACAAAATGTATTTAATAAATATAAATATAAAAATTTCCAAAAAAAAAAAAAAATTGTTGTTTTAGTTAATTTTACGTATAAATAAAGATGTAAAATGTCTTTAACATTGCTCCGCGACAAAAGATTGGGCAGTGGCAGTAAATCAGTCGGTAATGTTGTCTGAAACCGAAAAAGTTGACACAACAACAACATTAAGTCGATGCAAATCGATTGGCAGGACTCTCCCGATCGGAAGCCAACCGACTTCCAGGACTCTTCCAACAGCAATTGACTAGGCCGCGGCAATATACTCAGACTAGAGTTGGTTGTTGCCCGTATTTTCATTTCATTCGGCGTATTGCGACACGATCGATACATTACATATTATACAAATTTATGTTAACTGGTTTAATTAGTTAACTTTAAATCAAAATTTGGAAAATAATATGGGGACTGAATTATATGGAATTGGGCTCTGTGTACAGTATATAGATGTTCCAGTTCATACAACGAAAGTGACGCAGCTGAGTTTTCAGCGTACGTTCCCAAGTCTTCGGCTCTGGGGCCGATCGCGTTCGACTCTGGGATTGACGTGACACGAGCCGACGGACAGCCAGCATGCACGTGTGTACGTTTAATAGGCTGTTTTGGGTGCGTCATGCTTCTTGCGTCGGCGGGCTTTTAGGTTAAGCAGGGCCCTGTGGTGGAAAAGTTGGGCGGTCTGTTCATGTGCGTCATCGATATATTCGTTGCTTTGCGTTACCCTTTTTGGTTTCTGCTACAGCGCAACTACACCTAAGAACAACAAAAACTGTAGTTAAAAAATCAATTTTGGTTGTGCAAAAGGTGAAAAATACATAAAATCAGAAATAAAATATGAAACTGTTGTTTTATTATCATACGACTTTTGTGATCCCCATGTCATTATGACGCTGAGACGAACTTCGATGGTTTTCATAATTTTAAGAAGAACGCCACAAGCTTACAAAGAATGGAAAATAATAAATAAATATAAGAATCAATTCTCTTTCGTCCATTTTCTTGTCGTCTTGCATAATTCTGTTGATTTCTAAATTTGTTTACTTTCCTGTCATCAGCACCCAAAACAAAATTCAAGACGCACGTCTGCCATGTAAACGCCTTTTCTGCTTCATTGCGTCTATTCCGATATCGATAAGACGCGCCCAGTGTAAAAAGGCTATAACACCTCCAAAATATATGCTTGTATGCATAGAATAATTTTTAGCTGTCGAAACCGATGATGCTTGAGATTTAAAATTTTGTAATTTATGAAAAATGTAAAAATAAACAAAAGCTGATCTAAAACGAAAAATAGTAAATGCTCGCTGACAAAAACTGACTGATATGAAACGAAAAATTCGAATTGCTTGCTGACAAAAGCTGACTGATATGAAACGCTGACATGCGTTGTGTATGCTACACAAATTATGTCGTAAATCCCTTTCGTTCAATTCAAAGCTTTAAAGCTATACAAATGTTCTATCTGCAGGCTATTCTGCAGGACGTGATCTTTACCCAAAAGCTTTTTTGTTTGTATTTTTTTATATTTTATTGAATCGTTTCGCATATTGGTTTCGTACATGTATAGGTACATACACATGTACTCGTATTAATGTTTTGTTTACATATATTCATATAAGGTATTGTATATATAAAGTTTGTTTGTAATAAATTATTAGCAAGTCGACTGCAGCCGCAGCCGCTGCCGCAATCGCACTCGCACTGGAAACATGAAGAATTATATACAACAAGGTTCTCGAAAAATTCACATTACGTACACAGTATACAGTACACAGAATGAATTACATATTACACTTTAATCGCATTAAGTGCAGGATTTCTGGCTTCGGGTGAAGTTTCAGCTGCAAGTTCAATCGGTTGGCGTTAAGATTAATTCGTTGATAACGGGGAGAGGGTGGGGTGGGGCGCTAAGCAAGCGGTAGGACATTGACGTGCGGTTCGGGGCATTAGCCGACGATCGTCAGAAGGGGGATGGGGAAAGGGGGAAGAAGTGCCATATGTGGCTACGTGGACACTACAATAATAATTTGGTCTGCTCTGCACCAGATTGTTGGTGTGTGTGGTGTGTGGTGTGGTTGGTCTGCTTAGATAACCGCCTCGATGGCCGCTCCGCCCTCGGCGTTCTTTTTGATCAGGCTCTCCCACTGTGCGATGAGGCGGTGCGACGAGGGGGCCTCCTCCGGCGTCAGATCACAGAGCTGGGCCAACGACATGGCCGGACGCATGCCTCCTCCATTGCAGCTGGCATTCCCATTCCCAATGCCATTTCCATTGGACATGATGTAGGCATACCCGCAGGCCGTTCTTTGTGAATTGTGGACAATCTCCTGCTCATTTCTGGAAAAAGAAAACCCGATTAGATTCCTCGATGAAGATGGACCGCACTCTACTCACCCATTTCTGTCGAGCTCCTGCGTGGACTGGGCATTGCGAAGTTTTCCCGGGCCATAGCAGTGCTCCTCCTCGGAGTCCTCATCGTCGTCCGCCTCCCCATCGGCCTCATCATCTGTGCTCAATATTCTGTGAAATGGATTGGATTGGATTGAATATCTATCCCTTAAGAGTGGTCTCTGTGTTTACTCACAGCTTGTCCTGCGAGGCCCTGAGGGTGTTCTGTCTGCTCAGCTTGCGCAGACGCTTCAGCTCCGTCTCCCGCGACTTGAGGTCCTGCAGCTCCCGCTGTATCTTCTGCTCCACGGGCACATAGCCGCGGCGCAGAGGCCGACCCTCCGAGTCCCGCTCAATGGCCGCCGGCGACAGGGTAACCGTCGGCGAGTTGTTGCCGCCCGTCTCCAGGAAGGCCAGAGCATTGCGGGCGTTCAGCTTTAGAGTCGTCTGAGTGCTGCTGCTTACGTTCCCGTTCACGTTGCCACTACTGCCATTGGCCAGGGTCAGGGGGGAGGAGGGGCTGCTCAGGGGGCTGCTGGGCCCCACCTTGCCGTGTGAGGCAATGAAGCGCTGCATCACGCCCTTGGTGGAGCCGCTGAAGGCAAACTGCCGCTTCTGCTGCACTCCGTTCAGCTGCGGCGTGGAGATGGTGCGGGTCATAAGCTTCTGCTGGGGCGGCTCCGGGGTCAGGTTGTAGCAGTTTGGACCGATGTAGCGCTGCTCCTGGCGGCTCACCACCGTCAGCTTGAGCGGCTGCAGCTGCTTCACCAGATTGTTGTTATTGTTGTTGTTGCTCTGGGAGGAGGCCGAAATGCCAGAGTCGTCCGAGTGCTGGCCATCGAGGCTCTCCTCCTTGGTGCTGTTGACGCTGGAGGCCAGCGAGGGTGTGTTCGAGTGCTCGTCGATGGGCAACAGCAGGGCCGTCGTCTGTACAGCCGCCAAGGCCGGTTGGGCCGTGACCAGAACACCCTGGTCTCGCTCCTCCTCATCCTCGCCCAGATCCAGCAACTGCTCCTGTCCCTGTGGCTCCTGATCCTGATCGAAGTCGTTGCCATTGCCGTTGCCATTGATCGTGTATGTCTCGAATTCGTCCACCTGGATGGGGGGCGGAGTGGCAGTGCCAGTGCCCACCCCAGTGGAGGAGAGCGTGGCCAGCTGGCGGTACTCCTCTTCGCGTCTCACCACTTCCTTGATCTCCTCCTGAATGCGTGTCAGGGGATCGATTTTCTGCAAGCAGCAAAAAAAACAAAAACAAAGAAAAAGGCTTTAGTCAACGGTTCGTCATGGTTGGGTGAAACCCGAGATGTGCGACGACCTCCGGCAGGAGGAAGTACTCATCCGATTACCGGTCGAATCGATCCGATCCGAACCGATCCGAACCGATGCGATTGCATCGGAACGAATTAACCGTTAGCCAAACTAGGGAGAGATCGATTTGGTTCGATTCGATTCGATGTGTAATCGAATATGACGCAAACGAGTGCCGATCGAGAGGCGAGCGTTTCTCTGTCGCCATTCACTTTCGGTTTAATTCAGTTCAGATGGTTCAGGCTTGGCTACACCCAAGATGTTGCACCCGCATCGACCTCGCGTCTTAGGGCTGCAACTCTTTGCGGGAAATGGGAGGAGAATAATCCCCGATGCTTACACAATCCACAGACCACAATGCCATGGAGTGGTATGGGGGCGATTGGGAGTGTAGGACCACTCCACTAGGGTGGATGGTAGAGCGTAACCCAAGCCAACCGACTATTATGCGTGACATCGACACTGTTGGATTGGTAGATGGATGAATATGAATATGTTGTTGGGTTAATTGGGAGGTTCCCCGGTTGGTTGCTCGTTCGCTAGCTCGCTCGCTCGTTCGTTCGTTCGTTGTGGCTAAAAATCAGTTTCAAAATACCAAACCCAAACCCCTAACAAAACCAAACAAAAATCGAGATTAAAAGTGTTTGAAAGTCTCACTTTCAGGCTTGTTTTTACATTTTTCCATTTTGTATTGCTTTTTTATTTTATCTTTGCTATCTTTTGTTGTTTTTTGTTTGTGCTTTTATGTGCCTCCCATTGTTGCATAAATTTTCTCATTTGCCGTCAAATTAACACAATATTTGTTTTTGTCACACAATACAAAACAATACTCGCCAATACATACACACATAAATATGTATGCACATATGTACGTATTTTGTTATAATCTATTTTAACAAATACTCGTGGCATGTTGCATAGAAATAGTTTCTGGGGAATCTCTGGGGAACATACATAAATGCATATACATAAATATAGTAGATAAATAAAACAAGAAACACATATATTGAGATTGAAAACTCCCACAAATGGAATGCGATTTTCTTAAAGATTTCTTCAATGAAATGTCATGACAGGGAAGATATAACATTCCGAATCTATGCTGCAGTACTCGTAATGCTACTCGTAATAGAAGCTTTAATCCATTAACTATATTAACTTTATCTGTTAACTGCCAATAGGAATCAGTCTATTTTAAATCAAGAGATCTACAAAAGTTAAGATTCTTAGAATTTATTGCTAAACAATCATCGATTATGTGATAATTATTAGCTGGAATGCCTGCGCCTGCACATACTCGTACTTGTCGTACTTGTGGCACTTGTACATATGTATTTAATCTCGTACTTCTGTTGAATGCCACTTTAATTGAGCAAATGGGGAGTGGAGTGCCGAGTGAAACGAGTGGGGGATGGGAGGATCCTTTCTTTTCTGCGGAAAAAGGCCATTCCAATTCAAGTGAAGCTACACCACAGTTTCTCTCCCTCTCCCTCTGCCTCTGTCTCCTCTCTTTCTCGTATATGTATAGTACTCGTACTTGGTGGCATCTAAGCCCTTCTTCAACCCAAGAGCCATCTTTCACACAGCAATCAGCATACATTTGATTGCTTAATACTTCCCCTGCAGTCAGACTCGTAATTCAAGCACTTACATGGTCTCTACTGAGAAATGGGACTGGGGGTTGCTTGGGGGAGTGGATAGGGAGTCCCCCGTCTGCCTGCCTGCCTGCCTTTCTGCTTTTTCGGGTCACTGCGTCACTGGGGTTCTGCAGTTTTGCAGTTCTGCAGTTCTGAGGGCGCTAAGGTCTCCCCAGGTCTCTGACTCTTCCATGTGGGTGCGTTGTCGCCAGTTGTCGCCGTTGTGGCTTCCGCGTTGTCGCCGTCGTCGTCGTCGTCGTTGTCGTCACATTAGAAAGTGCCGCGGCAAGTGCCCCGCCATGAGCGATTGTTGCCTCTTTTGTTCCGTTTTGTTGCTGTTGCTGTTGTTGTTGTTGCTGTGTTGTGTCTCTGCCGAAAGTCACTGCCGCCGCCGCTGCAGTGACTGCTCGAGTCGCGGGCGCAGTGATTGTCGCTGTCGCTGTCACTGTCACAGCGCCTGTCACCTCCCCGATCCACCGTGGCCCATCGATTCGATGCAGATTTTCACTCAATTGTTTGGGGCAGGCCGGGGCCAGCACAGGCCAAAGCAGCAGCAGCAGCAGCACAAAACAACGAATCGAATCGAAATGTGCGTTTAACGACGTCGTTTTCACTTGCCGCAAACAAATAAAAGCGGAGAAAACCAGAAAGTAAGTCCGACTTAAGGCCCCCACCACACCACGCACCATTGAATACACTTGCAGACGGACCAAAGCTGTAGTTTCCATAAATTTGAGAAGGTATTGTCAGGGGTCATGTCACTGATAGCTGACAGTCCTACTCGATTGGAGTTGCATATGCAGATCAGCCAAGAACATGCAGTAGGGTATGACCTATGGAACTTGCACTGGGGCACTGATGTTCCCCCAGAAGGAAGATGAATTGGAGCTCACGTTGCTGATACATTGACACATGATATGCAGGTATATTCCCCCCATGGAGTCTGGTGTGATAACTTGTTGGTAACATGATATTACCCCCTGGCAAGTGCATAAAAAACACACACCAAATATATACACAAAAAATAAAAAAAAATAACAGCAACAACCAATACGAAGCAACGAAAAACTTGTACAAAACTTCCGTTTTGTGTTGGCCACAGGCGCTACTTGTTGCTGCCGTCCAAGTGCAATGACAGCGGCAACATTAGCCGCAACAGCAACAGCAGCAGCAGCAACAACAACATCAGTGGCAGCCACATCGGTGGCAGCTGCCTAAAGTTAAGTTGACAGCTGCTCCTCGCCTGACTGTCACTTTTGGCGCGCAAGCTCGGCTCGGCTCGGCTCGGCTGGGCGCTCTGCCTGTGTTTCCCGGTCGAAATGTACCGCAACTGGAAATGCGAATGGGAGTCAAGGTGGAAGTGGAAGTCAGAGCCCGAGCCGCATGCCACATGCCACATTCGCCGGGGTCAAACCTGCAATGGGTCGCGTGAACAAGCAGTGGGGCAGCAGCCAACAAAACAGGGAACAGGGAACGATACAAGATAGACAAGATACAACTGCTCGTACTACAGAGAGCACGGGACCCCTGGCCACAAATTGCTGGCTGTTGCCCGTTGCCCGTTGCTGCTGTTAAGATCAGCAGCCAAAGAACAGCAACAACAGCAGCAGCAACAGCAACAGCAGAAGACTCGCCACAGTACACCGAAGGCAAATTGGCAAAACAAAACGAAACGAAACGAAGAAGAGAACAACAACAAAACAACATCCAAAGAAAATAACAAACAAACAAGATAGTTCGTGTGTTGGTTGGGAGTGTGTCTAGACTCTAGAGTCCAGACTGAACGATACCCTGCAATGGGAATCGTCACTCCAGTGCTGGTAGATCTCTCTCTTGCAAATATGAGAAGATGAAACACACTGACACATAGATATACATAAACATACTATATGTACATACATACATACTATGTATAATAATTATTGTAATTCATCCTTCTGTTACTGAAGGGGCATACACACACATATACCTACTCATTCTTGAGCGGAATTAATGGGTATGAAATGCGAAGCAGAACTAAAAGAAATGAAGGAAACGAAACGAAAGACGAAATGAACAGCAACAACAATGGGAGAACGTGACAAGAAACGTGACCGTGACTTGGGCTCCGCTGTCCGCGCTCCCCGCTCTCTCTTTCTTGCTCTCTCCAATTCTTTCCCTCTCTCTATGGCTATCTCCCTCTAGCAACTGATCCAAATACAAAAGCTGCTCTGCTGCTGTCGTTTCCAGGCGAGCGATCAGCACTACCTCCCACCGCCCCACTAGATCTGTTGTTCATCATGAACATACATACATATGTACATATGTTCATACATATGTACATATTTGGGCCAATCCGTTTAGCGTTTTCCTCAGGTGACCGGCGCAGTTGCAGCAACAACAACAAAAAGTGCACTCAAATAATGAACAAATGGCAATATGCGGAGTCGTCCATCCGTCAAGTAAAAGAGGGCCCAAGGGAGAGGGGCCTCCTCAACTTAACCTCAAAGTTCAAATGTTATCCCGAAGAGGATCGTGTAATGTCCTGCAGCAAGCAGCTGGCATTATCTGCCATACTGTTATACTCTTACTTCTATACATTTTGGGGGCATGGCTCCCGGCTAAAATGCAGCGTTAAGCGCTTCCTGTACTGTGTGTGCTTTTGTGTCCTCTCTGCCAATCAAAGTACAGACTGATACTATCTGATATATTATCTTATACACACATCAACTGTTATACTGACAAGCTGACCAAGAATATTTCATTGCAGAAATCTGTAGTGTGGGAGTATGGAGTACTATACTGTATATGAGTTCTGAACAGGGTCTGTTAAGCCCTCAGAAATTCTATGTAAACTTCTTTTCAGTTAACTTACTGTCAGAGCTCATACTGTTGCTGTTATAACACCCGCTGATATACTTTCTTGGGCTCCCCAACCCCACCATTCCGATCAATGCAGACACTGGCATGCATACCTTCAGAACATTTGTTCCACAACTCGAAAATGGAATTATCTGCAAGTACAAGTACGAACGAGTTCGAGTACGAGTACAAGTACAAGTATTTCCCCAATGCCATTATCTTTTTTGCCCAACTTGCATGCCGTTGAGCGGTACCGTTGCCCAGAGCCAGCAGCAATGCTTGAGCATGGCTTTAGCCACGATCTGATAGACCCAGTTTTTGTTTTTTTTACCCGTAGTTATAGCAAGTCGTGATCTACACAGACCACCAGAAACACCAACAGAACAACAAGACAACACAAGAGAAGACAAGAGAAGAATAGAGTAGAATAGAAGACAATTGTTGGGAGAAATCTAAGGCGGATGCACTTGAAGCATGTGTCAATTATGACGCGTGATATGGCGCATTAGCATTAGCATTACCAATACCAATAGAAATAGCAATACTCCTACCACTTACCATTCGCCATTCGCGCATTCGCCATTAGGAATGGAGTGGACCGTTACCGGACAGCGATAGCGACGTCTGTCATTAGATGCCAAGCTATGCCAAATCTTGGCCAAAAGAATTATGGCCAAAGTCACGTCTTGTTCAGGTCGCTCAGGGCGCGCTCCATTAGCGAAAAATCCACGAAAATTGTTCGAAAACAAAAAGCGAAGACATGATGGAAGAGATGGCGAAATGGAAATGGTGCGGGAATTGTAGGAGAAGGAGAAGGAGGAGGAGCAGCAGCAGCAGCAACGTATTTGGGCCAAATGAAATTCTGCGCAATTTGTTCGCTCGCGTGGCTTTTCCTTTGAATTCGAACCTTATCTATCGTCGGCAGGGGGGGATGGGAGGTGGCAGGTGGGAGGGTATTTACTGAAAATGAATTCGCGATAAGCCAATGGGCAAAGGAATATGGGCTAAAAGCTGATAAAAACACACACACACACACACAAAAGCACACACATCGATTGGATCACTTGGGAGAAGTGAAGAAGAGAATTTTCCCCTGCATTTGAGTATTTATTTTGGCTCGTTTCTGCGCCTTTTTGGCTCCTAAGGAGCAGGGGGATGTTACGATGCGTGACCTGGCCAAATCAGGGGCTCGAACTACAGTTTGTTTTTTCAATTTCGGCTCGTTACTTTCCACAACTTGATTGCCGATTGTTTGGCCATTAATTTGGCGTTGGCTCTGCTTTCGGTTCGGTTCGGTCTCGGTTTTATTGGTACAGGGGGAAACACAGCCGTTTAGTTTGTTAGTCAGTGATTAAATTAAGTGCCCGCTGACGGGCAAGTGGGAGTTCACCGCTCAACGGAAAAGATAGCAGTCGTCCATTTGGCACGCATGATTCACATAGGCGAACCTTTCCGCTTCTCACCCACCGAACGAGGCCAAAATGCTAAGAGTATTCTACCTATAAGGTATAAGGCAATACATAGCAGGATTTGGCAGATCACAGTTTAGAATTTCAGAAGCCAAGATATGATTCAGATCCCTTCTAACTCGTCCCAACATGTGTCTGTGTTAATGAGAAATAAATGAAGTCAACGTTATTGACATTTGTTGGCAGCAATCTCCACGGTAGGTAGCCGAAGAGTTTCAGTGGAGCATGTCCTTGAGGGATCACTCTGTTCGGCGGTAAGGACTCCTCTGCAGATCCCCAATAGATCTCGAGAGGAGAGTAACCCACAGGTGGTAAAGCAGCACCAGAGCTGTATGGCAGGTGCAGTTTCAAGCCATTCAAACGACATAGCGACATAATCCCACCCGGGGAAACACACACACACTCGCCACTCACCCAGTCGACTCTCTCCTACCAGTCCCCAGTCCCAGTCCCCAGTCGCTCCAGTCGTATCGTACCTTGAGATGGATAAAAAACAATGACAAAAAGCCAACCGGAGCGAGCCAAGCAGAGAGACAAATTATGTCACTGAAATGCTGTGCAGCGGAGAGGAGAGCAGCACTGGCATGCCAATTGCCGATTGCCGGCTGGCCATGTGACCACAAAACGTGCACCGCATTATACTGCGCGTATCCATAACATAACAGAAGAGTGGAAGAGTAGACGAGTAGACGAGTGGCAGAGTCCAAGTCGAGTGTCGCAGTGAAAGAGTCAAAGTCGGTTGGCCACACCACCACCAAACATTATGTCATCGGCGACAACCTCTGAGGCAACTTTTTAGTGGTGTGGTGTGGTGGGCTGGGCCATTGACATGCACTGTGTGTGCGGCGCCACAGAAGAGAACAAGCTACGAGTGGGCACTGCGAGTGCTGCATGCATCTGATGGATCTCTCCATCGGCATCGGCATCTGCATCTGCAGCTCTAGTTGCGTGCGCAGCAGTGCGCTGCATTTTGAACTTGAGGCGCACCAAAGCCACGCTACACGAAGCACGTAAAAGATACAAATACAGATACAGATACACATACAGATACAGATACTTCTTCTTCTGTGCGAACAAGTACGAGTATCTATGTATGCATGTATGTATCTCTATCCCTCTCGCCTCTCTTACCCTCTCTGCTGGTAATTGGCATGTTTTTCGGGGCCTCTGCCTCTGCCCCTGCCCCGGCCCCTGCCCCTTGTTTGCTGTTGTAATTGAAACTCTGTTTCATATTTTCTGTTTTCTGTCGCTGGCTGATTGAAATATGTACAACCAACGAAACAATGGCAAATATTTGCGAAACGTTTTGGCGGCAGGGGTACGGAACACAGTCACAGACACGGAGACACGGACACGGACAAGCACACTCGATTCAGATCTTGCTTCTAAAGATACACTCCAGCGGTACACGGGCCACAGTTAATTGAGTTGCTTTGTTCAACTTGTTTGGCATCTCCACTCCACTCTACTTTGGCATCTTCATCTTCATCGGTGCTGACTCCCTGGTCCCTGGTCCCTGGTCCATAGATCAATCGAGTAACCAGCGCTTGTCTGGATCCTCGCGACATGGCCTGGCATTAGCTTTGACTTTGGCTTTGACTTGGAATTGATTAAAAGTGAGACCATTTCACCGACCGACCCCACCCGACACTCCCCAGAGCGCGGCATTAGGCTGAGGCTTTCGGCTTTTGGGAAAGTGCCAAGTTGCTGGTGCCCTGGCCAACGGTT